ACAGCACTGGGGATGCCTTATATACCGGCCGTGCCAATTCTCGGGAAAACGTCTCCGAGTACCGGGACAAACTTGTGTCTGAAGTCATAAAGACATAAGACATAAAGACATTTATTCCAACACTTACATCTACACACATGACAAATTACCATTAAAAATAAAACAAGTGACTTATATACAAACAAAAAAAAAAGATTGAATAAAGAAAAGTGCGTCCATTCAAAAAAAAAGAAATGGTGTGCTATGATGAAGTGGTGGAAGGGACCGTCTCAGCATATGCCGCGAGCTTGCAGCGCTGATTTTCAGCCGGCCCCGAAGAAGTTCTGACGGTCAATTTTATGCGAGCGAGTATTTTCTTTTAAAATTCTTATTCTATACCTCATGCGAGATGTGCCGTAGACGGTAGTATGCAGAGTCCCTACGTTTACGTTTTACTAAAATATTCATGCTAAATATATCATTATATACATATACATACACACACACACACACACACACACACACACACACATACATATACATACATATATATATATATATATATATATATATATATATATATATATATATATATAAGTGACAGGAATATAGACAAATACTATAAATATATATAGATGGTAATAAATACAAAGTAACATGTACATATAAGATATACATTAAATACCCACTTAGTAATCAGTAAATTATCATTAAAGGTATAATTTAAATTTATGATTAGAAATACTACATAAGTAATTCTTAAATAAAGTATGTTCAAACATTTATACTTCCCTTCTGTTCGTTTAATAAAAATTTCTTAACACAGAAACACGCGTTAGATACTTATTGTGTTCACGACACCAGTCTAGTTTAGAGTACAGATACTTTGGATTTTTTGTTTTCAGAACACCAAATAGAGCACAAGCAAAGTGGAGTTTGCGTCTTGCAGCCATCTTTAGGATGTTATTATCATTAAGGAATGGGCTTACATGACCTCTTGGTGGCACATCAAAACAGAACCTTGCACAAGCGTTTTGGACTCGTTGAATAAGGTATGCGGTGCGCGCCAGCAGACATGGCCCATATACAGTGTCAACATAATTAAATTTTGATAATACAAGTGCGTCAGATAACCTCTTACGTAGTTCTATACTTAGATACTCACGTATCTTGTACAAGATTTTTAACCGATAGAAGCAGTTCCTAACAACACCAGCAATGTATTCTTCGAATCTGAGGTCAGGGCTAATTATAACTCCTAGATTATGGGTTTTCTCCACTCTTTCTAAAATAGTTTCTTTTATATATACTTTTGGATTGAAATAATTTATTTTTTCTATTTGTTGTTTAGTACCACAAATTAAAAACTTCGTCTTTGACGCATTCAACACTAGAGAATTTCTTTCTGACCACTTCAGTACTCTATCGAGGTCTTCATTGAGGTCCCGTATAGCTTCCGCAGTATTCATGGACTTAAAAGAGGTATAAACTTGAGTATCGTCTGCATATATATGGTATTTACAATTTTGAAAGCAAACGGTAATGTCCGAAGTATACAAAGAAAACAGCACAGGACCTAGAATCGATCCTTGGGGAACACCTCTTGTAATGTGCTGTGGAGATGATATGTAGTTTTGGCCATTTTCTTTTTTCAGTATTATTTGTTGTGACCGCCCACTGAGATAACTGCTGAACCATTTTATTGTTTTGGGATCAAAACCATAATATGCCATTTTAGATAAAAGTAATGTCGTGTTTATTGTATCAAATGCCCTAGAATAGTCCAATAGGACCAGCACAGTTCCCTGACCTTTATCTTGAGCCTCCAATATATTGCCTACTACATCAGAAAGCGCAGTTGCAGTGCTTCGCCCCTTTCTAAAGCCTGATTGAAGATCAGGTAGAATGGAATTGTCTTCAAAATAAGCTTTTACTTGCTGATATACCACTTTCTCAAGAATTTTCGATAAGCATGGTAGTAAGCTAATGGGCCTTAAATCTTTGAAATCATCAGGATGTCCTTTCTTAGGGATAGGACGTATTAGGCCTCTTTTCCAGATTTCAGGGAATATGCCGGTACTAATTGACTTATTGACAAGTGCAGTTATAGTCTCCAAACTCTGTGGGAGAGTCATCAATAACATATTAAGTGTAATACCATCTACTCCTTGTGCGTTAGATTTAAGTGTTTTTATTATTTTTGAAATATCATCTGACGAAACCGTTTTAAGTAAAAAATTCCCAGAGCTGAATCTATCAAATTCGAAATACGTAAGTTCCGATATTTTTACGTTATTAGTCCCTGGAGTATTAAGAAAATGTGCATTAATTAGGTCAGGTACCATTAACTTTGAAGGTAATTCTGTATCATTTTTTGGCGGTAAAGAGTATGCCTTCAGATTTGACCACAATTTCTTTGGGTTACCAATGTTGTTGTTAATAAAACAATTGTAATAAGCTTTTTTCTCGTAATATAACGCGATGTTCACTTGATGCTTCATTTCTTTATAATATGCTTTATGGTTAAGTGACTGCGAAGAGCGAAACTTATTATGTACTTCATCACGTAATCTCATCATAAACTTTATGTTGTCCGTTATCCATGGACAAGGGCGGTCCTTAAGCACTATCGATTTAATAGGAGCATGCAATTCAAATAATTGTATAATGGAAAAATTAAATGTTTCTGTCATTTCATTTACGCTATCAATACACTGAATATTTTTCCATGGGATTAGCTGGAGATCACGTTCGAAATATTCTAGCAGAATATCATTTAGAGGGCGATAAAATACAGAACGTGGGAGTATTTTGTCTTTTTTATATGCATCTCACAGGAGAGGTAGGCGTGACTACTTAAAGCGTTGATGTGGTTAATAGCTACATTTCGCGTAGGTACGTCGGTACATATAACATCTATGAGAGTTTGACTTGTTTCTGTAAGATGAGTTGGCGCATTTATTAATTGTACGATATTTACATGGTTTATAAATTCAAGAAAACGTTTAGTCTTATTGTCTTCTATATTAAGTAAGTTAATGTTAAAATCTCCTAATATCATAACATAATCATATGAAAAAGTGCTAAGACTGTCAATTATAGCGTTAAGAAATATATCAACATTAAGCCATGGAGGGCGATAGGCCGTGCCAATAACGATGCTTTTTGAATTAATTCGTAAGTTCAGCCACATTTCTTCAACAGTGTTGTGGTGAGGCGTGGTTAATGTTTTTACATTAATCCCTCGCTTGATATAAAAGCCTACACCACCTCCGCGACCAGCACGAACAGAGAGCGGTCGCGGCACGTGACGTAGTCTATAGCCAGGCACGCGCGGGGCTCGGCCTTATTTATTGCCATTATATCAACTTCATATTGGCTCATAACGGCTATAAACTCATCATGTTTTGTGCCTAATGAGCCTGCATTTAGAAAACCAACTTTTAGGTACATAGATTTATTCATTTCTGACGTTCGATAAGCTACATTGAATACCATGCACAATAGGTATGGAGGTTTTAACGTTTACTTTAATATATATATTATATACATGATATATATTATATATATGATATATATTTATATTAAATGATACAATATTTAATATAATACATTTTTTGTTAGTATAATATATCAGTGTTTTCGCAATTTGCACAATAAAATAAAGTGCATTTATAGTGTAACTAAAAATAAAAATAATTATATAAAAATACGTTGACGCAGCACTATATAAAAATAAATGTAATAAGAAACATATCAAATACAGTACACTCGCCGCTAGTGACTCGCAAAAAGACTGAAAATTTATATAGCCACCATAATTTATCCTATGAAACACACAAGCACACAATAGACGAAAGCACTTTTTAGACAAATTAAAGTCTATTGATCTATTACTATAAAAGAAGACAAGTATACATAATTTTGCAAATAAGAGGCTATTTGAGTTACAAAATAAAACTTTTAAGATATAGCGAGTAACACAAAAAATGTATGTAATCTTGTAGTAAGAGTTTGTTCTCCATATTAAAAGTTTTATAAGAAGCATTAATATTATTACCCAAGTAATCAAATACTCACTATTATTAAGACAACAAAGATAATATATAATTCCGATATTATAAAGTATATTATAAACCTTTAACTTAAAATTAGCAAAAAGTTTAAGGTGTATTAATCTATTACTATAAAATAAGACGTGTATAAAGAATATGATCGGTAAGAAACTATATAGGTTATTAAAATATAAATTTAACTTAAATGTGGCATAACATACAGAGTCTTTAATGTTATAATACAAGTATGTTACCCATAATATTAACATATTTAAATGAAAAATCAATATCTCTCCAAAACCAATCAAACATTCACTATTATTTAAGCAACAAAGGTAACAAAATAAAATCTCAATAGTATAAAGTAAATAAACCTGTAACTTAAAAATAGCAAATAGTCTAAAGTGTATTGACCTATAACTACAAAATAAGGCGTGTATAAAGAATGTGGTCGGTAAGAAGTTATATAGGTTATTAAACAATAGGTTCAATTTAAATGTGGCATAACATACAGAGTCTGTAAAATTATAATACAAGTATGTTCGCCATGATATTAACATATTTAAAGGAAAAATCATTATATTTCCTAAAACAATCAAACATTCACTAATATTTAAACAATAAAGGTAATAATATAAAATATCAATAGTATAAAGTATATAAACCTTCAACTTATAATCATCAAACAGTCTCAAGTGTATTGCCCTATAACTACAAAATAAGGCGTGTATAAAGGATATGGTTGGTAAGAAGCTATGTAATATGTTATTAAACAATAAATTTAAGTTAAATGTGACATAACATACTGTATCCATAAAGTCATAGTTTGTTAGCCATAATAATAATAATAATAACATAATTAAAAGCAACATTATTATCTTTCCAAAACCAATCAAACACTCACCATTACTAAAATAACAAAGGTAGCAGCACATAAACAGTTTTCTATAAACACCCAACTCAGAGTTAGCAGAAAACACGACTTAGGTCTGTATCGGATCGGATGCGTGTTACGGGCTTTCCGTCTTCTTTTCTTACGAATATTTGACCACCTTTTGTCCATGTGTAGCGCCAACTTGCGTTTTTTGCTGCCTCTCGTGTCTTTCCAAACAATTTCCTATTGACGGGAGTAAGCCTCTCATTAATATAAATCCGACACGGATCTCCGGGCAACCCCAGTGAATCACTCGTTATGTTGCGTCGCACCCGCGCACAACGTAGGAACTCGTCCCGAACCGCACGCCGACTCATCCGCACCACAATCTTGCGGGGTCCAGTAGACATGAGTTTTTGAGCACTATTGTTATTATTATAAAATGCACGCAAGATACCAGCACGTTCGGCATGAACTATCTCGCGGTGATCAATGTCGACACCTATCTTTTTAGCGCATAACATCACGGTATTAATAGGGTTTTCACCTTTTTGCTCCGGTAATCCCGATATCTCCAGGTCATTGGCTAGGAGGTCCTGATCTCTCTCATTAAGTTGGACCCTAAGTTCACTAATTGTGTCCTCTAGTATTTTAGTGTCGCACTTAATCAGACGATCTTCATATAGTTTTTCCAAATTGGTGACTCTGCAATCCATTTCCTCCAGGTTTTTATTACACGCAAGAACTGTATCCTTTAGCATAGTTATATTGTCCCTGACTTCCTTCAGCTCATTCCTCATAGCACTAAGCTCATTTCGAAAAAGACGAATTTCTAATCCTATATCGATATCTTTATGGGTAGGACTACAGTCACCAACTTCTTGGCACTTAACCGGTGTGTTGGAATGGTCTCCAGTGCGAGGAACCTTATTTTTACAAGCAGGGCACATCCACGAAGCTGTTATCTTCGTTTTTTCAGAGAGGTTCAGACAGCCTCGATGATAGGCTACATCACATTTGCCACAGGTAATACCATCTGTCGCCGGTAGGTAGCGACCACAGGCTCCACACTTGACCATGGTGAGTTGATTGAGGTAGACTTATTTATATCACGTTTATTTATTTATGTGCGTAACAGTGGCTTATGTACTACTAGTAGCCGAAAGAGGGCAATGAACACAACACTATTGATCACCACTATTGACCAGATTTATGGTTAACACAACACCCAATTATTGACTATTTTTATAGTTATTATAAATAATTTAGAATTAAACTTTAAAAGTTCACTGTAACGGTAATTATTGCAAAAACAAGTAAACTTAACGTTTGTTAGCAAATTAACATGTAACACGATCAGAGTAGTGTTAACATTTAGTAATTATAACGGGGTAGATCGATATTGATGATAGTATTATTTTAACACTTTTAATGTTATTTATTTTGATTTCGCTTTAATAATGTTCAAATCTTCTACACAATGTTCTAAATAGTCATTCACACTCACTTTTAAGACTTTAAAGATTAGATAATTATTTTTAAATTAAACAAATTAGAGCACTACACTGACAACAACATTACTCGCCAGACGGTAGATAGAACGTCGAGTCTTTGCTTAACAAAGTCTCGGATTGGGGCCGACTAAATCTAGTCCAGTTCAATCCCCAGAAGACACAAGTTTGCGTGTTTACCGCTAAAAAGAACCCCTTTGTCGTATCTCCTCAGTTTCAAGACACTCCCCTTGCTGCCTCAGCCAGTATCGGAATCCTTGGCGTCGACATATCGAATAGCGTGCAGTTTCGTGGTCACTTGGAACGGAAGGCCAAATTGGCCTCTAAAAAGTTTGGCGTGCTCAGCAGAGCGAGACAGTATTTCATGCCGGCACATCGCTTGCAACTTTACAAAGCGCAAGTTCGGCCCCACATGGAATACTGTTCTCATCTCTGGGCCGGGGCACCCCAGTGCCAGCTCCTTCCACTTGACCGCATCCAGCGCAGAGCGATTCGAATCGTCGACGACCGAGTTCTTTCCGATCGGCTCGATACACTGGCACTGCGTAGAGATGTTGCATCTCTTTGCGTATTTTATCGCATCTATCACGGGGAGTGCTCTGAGGAATTGTTCGGACTAATTCCAGCCGCTCAGTTTCACTATCGTACATCGCGACAAAACTCGCGTTACCATCCATACCATCTGGATGATTGGCGGTCCACCACTGTGCGATTTAGAAGAAGTTTTCTCCCTCACACAACTTCTTTGTGGAATCAATTACCACCAGCGAATTTTCCGAACCGATACGACTTAGGAACCTTCAAGAAAAGAGCTTACACCTTTCTAAAAGGCCGGCAACGCATCTGCAATTCCCCTGGTGTTGCGGTTGTTCATGGGCGGCGGTAGTCACTTACCATCAGGTGAGCCGCATGCTCGTTTGCCCCCTATTCTATAAAAAAAAATATATAAATACATTACACATGATTAGTGTACGCCTATAATGACAGTGTATTATGGTGTAATGAATAATGACTGCCTCGTCTAGTGGTCATAGTGCGACTGTTGATCAGGTGGTTGCGGGTTTAAATCTCAAGTCGGGCCAAAATCAATAGTAGGTTTTTGTGTCTCAGTAGTAGCTTCCAGTCACAAACAACACCAAGTTGTTTTACCACTATGTATGCCTAATGAGGGAATTGAGTGCACCTGTGCATGCACTATAATCCAGTTCTACTAGTACTATTATTTATTCTGTGGTTCTACTCAGATAAAAAGACTCCCGTTGAAGACATTATTATTTACGGTGTACACCAGAGTACACGTAACACCCATGCATGACTAAGAAACTAGCAAGCGCTCCTATGCAGGAATTGTAAAATAGATTGTGTATTCCCAGTACACTACTCTACTCTTTGATTCTGTATCAGCTTTCTCTATCTTACATAAAATTATAATATTCGTCATTAACATGGCCGTCTTTAGTATCGATTTTTTGGCCAAATTCAAAGAAATGGAGGTTCCTTATCCTTATGAGTGTTACAATCACGGATTTAGAAAAGATGCCATAATTCAGAAGTGTGAAGATAGACTATATAACTCAAGGCTGGTGTAGTGCCATTTAAATTGACAAAATAGGAGTTGAGATTTATAATTTAACTATTTAGACAACTTTCTAGTTGTTACTTTGAGGTTATTATATTGCTTAGTCACTTACAACGGGTCAAATTTTTCTGAAGTCGGTGTCGGTGTTACTACATACAGTATAGTGGAAATTATTTTATTCTTTTTAGTTTTTTAAAGTCAGTTTTTGCTTTTTTATTTATTACTATGATCACATGCGTATACGTGTTTGTATAGGTACATCAGTATGATCAGTATATTATTTTTGGATAATGATGTGTATTTCAGAGCCAGATAACCTTGCGATATCTTATTTACGAGGCAAGGCAACAATCGTACAATTGATATATTTTATATTTACAAAGAAAATAAACTTTAATAAATAAAACACGTATAGTTATCAAGAGGCATGTATTGGTGAGCCTTAGGATTTAGTTACTTAAAAAACATAAAGCAAATTAATATTGTAATCTAGAACAAACACTTGGTAGTTATCATTCAACTTAAACTCTTTAATGGTGTACAACATTACTTTAAAGCATTCTCATATCTTGCTGAAATATCTTGCCAGTTTGCGACGTCAAATATAGCTTTCACATAGTCGGCACGTACATTTTTATATTGCAAGTAATAAGCATGCTCCCAAACATCGATTCCAAATAAAGGTACTAATCCTGAAACAAAATGTATATGAACGGTTATTAAGCAAATTTACAATCAAAACGAATTCAAAATTTATAATACACAAGCAAAAAGTATGATCTCCTAAATTATGCAACCTGCATGTCTTAGGAATTGATAATTCATACTTCAAGATCTGCTGATATGCATCGTGACAGTGGAGATTTTTGCTGGCCTTAAAACCCTTAGAAATAAAGTATGCCCCCTTTCATTTGTGTTTCAAACAGTAGGAGTACAATAATAATGTACTCCAGACTGATTTTCGGCCACGGAAGCCAATTTCAACGGAAACAGGTCACCTGAGTGTGCTAAGTAGAAGTGCACTCTTTATTCCCTCACTCATGGTCAAATGGGATGGCAAGCCGGCACGACCAGATTAGCAGTAGGGTTAGGAGTTGGACGTATTTATAAAAGTTGCGGTTTTACTGTTTTTATTCTAGTAAATAATAATTGAACTTAAACACATGTGAAACATTTAAGTTTATGCTGCAGTTCTGCTAAAGGGTTTTTCAATAAGGGCGAGTAGATTTTAAAATGAAATAAAAGGAGCTGTGTGTGAGGTATTAACAAAATATTTTTTTTATATGAAAGGCCCACATGTGCCATTAAGTGTGGAATATGACATTGTTCAAATGCCCGCCTCTGTTTCTTACAGTGGCACGGATCCAAGTTGTCGAATTTTCAATGACTATTAGATCCGCATAGATCCGGCTGAATTTGAGCGATGGCCTGTTTTATCTTTATCTTTAGGATCGATAGATTGTGGATTGTATGCATAGACCTGCGACTTCAAGAAACCCCTCAAGAAATAGTCTAGGGGGGTGAAATCGCATGACCTTGGTGGCCTATTCACAACACCCCTGCGAGAGATAAGCTTACCCTCAAATAGCTCTTGGAGAATGTCAATCGTGGCGTCCGCAAGGTGGTACGTAGCGCCATCTTGCTGGAACCACATGTCGTCTAGGTCCATATGGTTCAATTTGGGCCATAAGAAATTGGTTATCATCGCTCTGTAGCGCTCGCCGTTGGCGGTGACCCGCCTCACCAGCGTCGTTTTCGAAAAAGTACGGACTAATGACGCCGCCGGCCTAAAATCCACATCAAACGGTAACTTTTTGAGGACGCATTACCACCTGGTGAAGCTCGCGTGGGTTGGTGTCGTCCTATATACGGCAATTCTGCTTGTTGACACAGCCATTCATACAAAAATGCGCCTGTGGCTAAAGATTTTTCGGCCAAAATTAGGGTCCTCTTCAAAACGATTCGAAGCATAGCCAGCGAATAAACGGCGTTGTCTATGGTCATGAACTTTAAGCTCCTGGGTCGATTGAATCTTGTACGGGTGTAGGCCTAAGTCCTGACGCAAAATTCGCCAAGTAGAAGTCTGCGAAAGGTCAAGTTCTTGTTTTGCGAGACGGCGAGGAATCGACTGCCTCGGGTTCTGCTGTACACTTTCACACATGTTCTCGGCCAATATGGCGTTCCTTGAGCGTTCAGGTGTTGGGTGATTGTTTACCGACCCTGTCGTTTTAAATTTGGCCACCAAATGTTGAAGAATTGACTGTGAAGTGCCACTACGTTTACCGTAAAATGGGCGCAATGCGCGCAACAATTGCACTAACGAACACTCATTTTGATAATAAAGTTTCATAATTTGAACGTGCTGTTCAATTGTGTAACTTGTCATGGTGATTTGGCATAAGTAACTGAATAATAAACAAAAGATTTGATAAATGTCACCCAAACAAAATGGCCGCCACGCGCCGCCAAAATCTACCCGCGCCATTTGGAAAAACCCTTTACAGCAACACGCAGAATCAATGTCTAGCCCAAACTCATATCTCTTTCATTTTCTTACCATTACTCTTACAGCCTATCAAAGTCCTCTACATAGGCCACACCACGCCTGGCAGGCGGCTTGGCAACCTAATTTTTTTTTTCTTAATAACACATGATATATAGAACCACTTATCATGTGTATTCAGCTTGTAGTAGTAGTTGGAAAGTCTAATGGCTTATGATAAATGGCGAGCAAACCAACCTTACGCATATTTAATACCGAAAAGTAGTAGATTATTTACATTATATTATCATTATTACAATCCTTCAAGTCCACTGCTGAACATTGGCTTCTCCCAAAGAATGCCACAAACCATGATCTTTGCCACTGCCATCTAATTCACCATTCGCTTGCTGTTATGAGGCTGCCACTTTCTTTCTGCCCCATCAGTTGTCGGTTCTTCGAGCTATATTTTTTTATACAAGAAGGGGCAAACGAGCATGCCGCTCATTCGATGGTAAGTGACTACCGCCACCCATGAACAACTGGTCTTCTAAATACTTATCTCATCGAAAAAGGTTCTCAATAAAGGTTATTTTTGTAAAATAAATACCGGTGGTTGCCTGCAAGGGATCCTGGTTCTGACAGGTTGTTATCTGAAGCTTCTTCATTTGCTTGTTATAACTAAGCCAGCCCCAGCCAGAGCCCTGTACACCTACAGATGCTGTTGCAAGTTGATTTTTCATGTTTTCCAATGATCCAAAGTCCCTTAAACCGAAAATTGTTAGAATGTAAATTATTCCACACTAGTTTTTAATACCTACACAATTGACATAAAAGATTGTACTACATGGTAATATAATTTGGATAATACTATAAAAAATAACTTGAAAAGAAGTTCATGAGAAAAAATTACTAAACAAATATTAAACCATATTATAACAAAACAGTGATCAAAAATTTTGTATGAAAACAAAATATAAATATTTTGTAAACACATATAATCATATTTAACAATACAATTATTTTTAATGAAAGTTTTTATTTTAATAACATGTTTCCAAAATATTTAATAAGGAAATATTCATTTGCATAATAACTAGAACATATTCAACTAATTATACTAATATCATTTGCATAACACATACTACAGCTTTATTAATGTACATCCAAAAATTACAAATCACATTTCATCACTCATGTATTTTTACTCGGGGACCAATGAGAACTATTTCAAATTGCTATGTGTAGGGAGCAGGGGACAAATTTTCACAGAAATTATTATAATGCATTTTTGTTTACTTCTGTATAACAATAACATCATTATAGTTGAGTTAAATACAGCATACCACACATGAACATAATATATAACAATAGTAAAATTATATAATTACTTTTCAATAGCTTTGACGAGTAGATCAGTAGGTTTGCTGGTTTTTGGTGAAAGGTTCTGCCAAAAAATAGTATGGTTGATGTGACCTCCACCATTGAATTTGAGAGCAGGTTGCAAACTTATTATTGTTTCGATGTCCCCTGAATAGAACATTGGAAAATCAGTTCTATGATGTTAGTGAGAGTATTGTTTAGAATTTAATGTTTTCATGAAAATTTACTTATATTTATAAACTACCTAAATTGTATATTATTAATATATAATCTAAGCTAAACTTACAGATACAAAACTAAATATTTGTATTGTGTTTATCAACGCAACTTATTTATGTTAAAAATACCCCAAATTACTATGAAACTTCAATTTTTACATTATGAAACTATTTCAAATGAAAGTAGTAAAATATGTTACTGTTTAATAGCCTGCAATAATGCACAGGATGGTTCCGTATTGCAAGGAGATAAATTCAACCATAAAATAGAATGATTCATATGTCCTCCTCCATTGAACTTTATAGCACTTAAAAGTGACACCATTGTATTCACGTCTTCTGCTGCCAAATGCAAATCACAATATTACTAAAGGAAGGAATGTACAATATTTACAATCGATTTTGATGTGGGAGAGGGTTAGTGTAAACCTCTGTGAAGGGGAGGATGCAGAAACCTATAGCTTTTGAGTGAAAAAAATATGTTTGATGCTGTGCGTAAGCTGATTGAGGAAGATCGACATGTGACATACCGCGAAATTCAGGCAACTTTAGACATTGGCATGAGTCAAATACAAATAATCTTGCATGAACAATTAGGTGTAAAAAAGTTTTTTTCCCGATGGATACCGCATTCGCTCTGTGAAGAGCAAAAAGCGGCTCGCGTTACTTGGTGCGTCAGAACTCTCGAAAGATTCCACGCAGGATCCTCAAATGCTGTATACAACATCGTATCAGGTGACGAATCCTGGATATACGCGTACGAACCCGAAACAAAAAACCAGTCACGAGTTTGGGTGTTCGAAAATGAGTTAAAGCCAACTAAAATTGTTCGTTCACGGAGTGTTGCAAAAAAAAATGGTGGCCACGTTTGTCTCCAAAACCGGCCATGTTACGACTATTCCTCTTGAGGGACAAAGAACGGTTAATGCAGAATGGTATGCTAGCATTTGTTTGGCACAGGTCGTTTCTGAACTCCGTAAAGAGAACTGCAACCGCCGCATCATCCTCTATCACGACAATGCGAGTTCTCACACCGCACACAGAACAAAAGAGTTTTTAGAGCAAGAAAACATAGAATTATTAGACCATCCGCCGCACAGCCCCGACCTAAGCCCTAATGATTTCTATACTTTCCCTAAAATAAAGAATAAATTGCATGGACAGAGATTTTCATCACCTGAAGAAGCTGTGGACGCCTACAAAACGGCCATTTTGGAGACCCCAACTTCCGAATGGAATGGTTGCTTCAATGATTGGTTCCATCGTATGGAAAAATGTGTCAAATTTCGCGGAGAATATTTCAAAAAGCAATAAATACATTTTTAAATAGTAATGTTGTGTCACTTCCTTGATTCCCGAAATTTTCAGTGCCGCCCTCGTATATATTACAAATTGCAAAATAATTTTAATATACCTACGATTATCTATACATATAATAAAACTGTAAATAGCAGATGTCTGTACATTTAATATTTTTGTAATAAAAGTGATTGAGGGGTACTAAAAATAAGTAATTAAATACATTTCTACCATTTTTAGAATTTTCTGTCTGTCTGTCTGTCTGTCTGTCTGTCTGTTTGTTTGTTAACGTATCACGTATAAAGTACTAATTTATATCATAAGAATTGTTAAGGAAATTATAAAGTGTATCTTCGGGTTACATTTAGTCTTTATTTCATTAAAATCAGTTCATTCCATCAAAAGTTATGATAAATATTCTGAAGTATGGGTAGGGAAGTATAGGTACGAATTGCTCAACGGTGGCTTTGTTTGAGTCATCAAGTGCATTTTAAACTAATATCATATCATAAATCATAGTTAAATTATGTAAAATAATGATATAATTATGTATATCTAAAACGCAGTAAACAAAAGTAATAAAGAACGTATTAAATATATTATACAAAAATATATTAACGTTATTAACTAAATCTGAAGCACAATAGTTAACCCATTTCTTCGATAGATGGTGGTGTTGTGAAAATGCAATGCAATGTTTTATTAAAATTGGTTAATTCTATCGAAAGTAATGATTATTATTTTGAAATGTAGGTTCGAATTTGTTCAATGGCGCCATAAAATCTCTGAAATAGTAATAAAAAGATTTCTGTGTAAAAAAAACGTTCCATAATAATTAATATATTTATACTTAAAACACAAAAAGAGATAGGATGTTTTCTCACACAAAGGACGTAATAGATGGAGTTGTACAAATTACAAACTTTTCTGAATTGCTGTATTGAGATTTTTCGCCGATGTATCGTATCGTAGATGACGCCTTGACACATATGAGTATTGGTATTGTATAGTTTGTAATATGTAGTATATTGTAATTGTAATTTGTATTGTATAGCCAATATTATTTGTAAATTATGTGTTTCATTTTTAAGTTATCTGTGATGGCGTCATTTTGGAGAATAAACCTTTCTTTCTTTCTTTCTTTCTATTGAGACTTACTGAAGAAATTTGTATCCATCGAAGCCATACAACGGAACCCGACCAAAAATAAAAATTTCGCAACGAAATGTCGTGATATTGTATTTATTATATACGCAAAATCAGAACTGCCATTTTAGCGCTTTGGGAACTAGATTTAGCACTTTTTTGGAATGTATAGCGCGCATTTCGAAATTTTAGCACCTAGCGCTTAATCCAGCGCTTTTTGGTGTATTTAGCACACATTTCAATATTTTAGCGACTAGCGGGTTATTAACTCTTTTATAGGAGCACTGTTAGTCCACATTACCGATAATAATAATAATGACCTTTATTATTTTTTCTCACAAATAGTACCTACATTGCAGTTTATCTTTTTCAAACATATTTCTTCCACAAAACAAAGAGCATGGGAGACGAGTCCAAACTAGGATACCCTGTGCTATGGATCTCCTGGCTTCCCCTTTAGGATGATCAACTTGATTTTTTTACCGACGACTATAAGCGGGGAAATCCCCTTTATTAAAGTTTTCGTTCATGGTTTTGGCAACGCATTTATTTTGCTTTATTCAGTTTCAGTCAGTTGCTTAGAGCACAGCTAAGTTAAAAGTTACTTAGAAGTTATAACACAAAGAAACTGTGTAGCAACCGCAATCAGATGCTGACATCTGAAACTAAGTTGCGAAATACATTGCACTTTAAAACAATTAATGACATTTTTATTGTTCGTACAGTACTAACTACTGTTGACAGCAATTGCTATAATTATAAGTCGATGTCCTGCGAAGTATTGATACATCAAAAAAATATTGCCAGAAAAAAAAACTTAATGTTGTTTTCTTTATTATGATTATATAAAAATACACAAACTTTGTTTGTAGTTAATTTAGCGCGAAATCTAGGGCTTTTTTAAAGCGCTGTTTTCATGAAATCTAGCGCTTTTTGTGTTGTCCTAGAGCTGAATGAGTTTTTTTTTATCTGGCAGCACTGCCCAAAAACCCTCTATTAAGAAGTAACTTTCCTTTCAGTTTTAAGCGCGTTCAGTTCCCAGTTACAGTGAGTTTATGTTATGCGATGACCGTAAATAAAGCGCAAGGTCAAACTTTACGCGTTGTAGGAGTGTACCTCAGTACTGACTGTTTTGCACATGGCCAACTCTATGTTGCTTTTTCCCGCGTTAGTAGCCCCCATAACCTTTTTGTGTACACCCCGGCTAAGCCTACTTCTAACGTCGTTTACACAGAAGCTCTATCATAAACGACTTAGAACTTTGATGATAATGATTTATTTAGTTACCACTTATTGATACAGTAATGAAATAAATCGTTTAATATTCTCTTACCTAAACGACAAATTCTTTATGTAAAACCTGTATACGCGAGCTACGCCGCGGGCACAGCTAGTATAAAATATAATAACGACTAAAGAGTCGCGTTAAGTTATAGTATATGTTTCGTTGTAAATAAATACATTCAAATAGCTAAACAGGTACTTAAAAATGTTAAGCTTAGTTACTTAATTAATTGTTAAGATTAAAATACTGTTGTCACAACACTAGGAGAGGCCGCTGATCCCTAAGATACAGACGTGTCTAGTTTGGGGATCAGAGTCTTCACTTTATTATTGTACTTTTATTTAAATAAATGATTATTATTATTATTATGGAGTATCTATAAAGTTTTCTCATCTGGTTGAGCAATATATAATTGTAAATAAACATGGTAAACGTACTTAAATATCAATAATATAAAATAAATACATAAAAAATACATAAATATATAAAAACCCAACCAGATGGAAGCCCTCGGCAGAGGAGACCAAACGGCCAAGGGTTAGGGGGAAAGGGAAAGAAACCGGCGGACGATGCGGGCGGTATCGAGGAGCACCGCCTTCTGCATTTGAGCTTGGAGCGGTCCGTCACGGAGTCCCAGTCGCCTCAGATGACCCGAGAGGCTGACTGGAATTAACCCATTCGCAGAGACGACTACAGGTATAATTTCGGCCGGCAATCCACCCCACATGTCGGTCACCTCGTGAGCCAGGTCCAGATATTTTGTCAGCTTATCTGTTTCGACTTTCACGAGGTTCTCGTCATAAGGAATGGTAATGTCGACCAAAAATATCCTTGACTGTGCCCGGTCCATCAGTACAATATCAGGCTTATTCGCAAGAATAGTCCTGTCTGTGATGATGGCCCGGTCCCAGTAGAGCCTGGCGCGGTCATTTTCGAGCACGGCTTCCGGCAAGTACTTATAATAAGGCAGTTTCCGATCCACGAGGCCGTATTTCAGAGCGAGCTCCTGGTGTAGAATCCTGGCTACTAGATTGTGTCTGTGCAAATACTCAGAGTTAGAAAGCGCCGAACAACCGGAGATGACATGCCTAAGTGACTCACCGGGATGGCGACAAGCTCGACAGACGTCAACGGTCTTAATAACCTGATCCTGTATCGCACAGACAAAACCCTCGGTTTCCCCAAAGTGGTCACCGAAACGTAGCCAGTGGAGGGAGGCGACTGTGTCTACGAAATGCTCATATAGAGCCTTGTAGAACCTCCTGTAGAGCTCCTTCTCCTTCCATACGGTCTCCCGGTCGGAAATACTCTGTACTGCCGGGTCTTGCCATTGCTCGTTGGCAAAGGATAGAGGGGTAAGTCTTTTATCACAAGAAATATCATCCGCTCTCGTCACAAAGTAATTACGGAGGCTGCACACTTCGCGATTATGCATGAGTGACGCTTAAAAAGCCGCACCCACCATGCTTCCGCGCCAAGTACAGCCTCATTACTGACGATCTCGGATGATGCATCCTGTGGGACGTCATTATAGTGCGGACTTTTCTGTCCAGTGCGTTCAGTTCGGTCTGAGTCCACTTGAACATGCCAAAGGTATACATGAGAACAGGCATGATCCAACCGTTATATGCGTGCGTCTTATTCACATCGGACAAAAGGCTGTTAAGCACTTTGGTCAAGCGTGCATAAAACACATCGCAAACTGACTGTTTCATACCCCCCTCATCTACACCGATGTTCTGTGACATACCCAGGTATCGGTATGTGTCAGCCTCGGAAAGGGTCCTTATGTTGATGGGCATAGATAAGTCTATGCCCACAGAGTTAGCAACCCTTCCCCTTTTAACATGGAGGACCGCACACTTATCTGTCCCCAGCTCCATTCTAATAGAATTGCTAAAATCACAAGTGATGTTTAGCAACTCCATAAGATGAGAGCGACTGGAGGCGAATAACTTGAGATCATCCATATAGAAAAGGTGGGTCACTTTTGTACCTCCTTTCCGAAGCTGAAATCCCCTCCCGGAGCCCTCCAGTAAGGTACTGAGAGGGTTCAGAGAGAGGCAGAACCAGATTGGACTCAAACAATCGCCCTGGAAGATACCCCTTCTTATACAATACAATACAATACAATAACTTTATTTCAGGCATCAAGGACTTAAAAATTAAGAACATTGGCCCATAGCAATATATACCTTAACCTAAAAATATATATAAAATATTGACATAACTTAACACTATTTAGGGAACTTTTTTTTTCTTTGGCGCGTCCCTGTATCGGCGAAACACTACCCCAGAGGGCCAGAAATCGGGAGCGAGGAATGTCTCTTTATGTTTTGCAGGAACCTGGAGTACGTAGGATTTGTAGTTCGTTGACCTATTAGACTCCAGACGCTGCAAATGTAAAGAGATCGGATCCTCAATGCGGCATCGGCTTCGTTCTTCCACGAAGCGCAAGACGTCTTCTTCCGACGTACTTCTGTCCAAACGGGAGATGTAGAGTTGTATGGTTGGCTCCACAGCACGCAGAGTTGTACTCGCGTTTATTTTCGCGGTCCCACGCTGGTTACAGACGGGTCGCGACCGACGTCTCTTCTCAACAAGAGTAAACCCGTCCTTATCAATCTTGTCTTGGGTCACCACTGGAACTGATTTTATTTCCACATTCTTCCTTATGTGGTTCTCCGCAGCCGTTTTCCGCTCGCCTAGATGACAAAGGATCGTACTCCATTGCCCCATACACTGCACGAGGAAGTCTCGAACTGTACAATTAACCTTATACAGCTCAAGGTCCCTCTTAAGCCATGTATGGGACACCGAGTCGAATGCCGTTTTATAGTCTATCCAAGTGGTGAAGAGGTTCCGACGGTTGCGTTTAACCACCTTGCCAATGACCGCGTCAATGAGGAGTGGTTCCTTGGTTCCACGACCACCGCCCCGACATCCATTCTGAGCCCGCGACATCACCTGATTTGAGTTCAGGTGACGAGTGATTCTCGCGCTCAAAATGGATGTTAGTGTCTTGTATATGGTAGGTAGATACGTTATGGGCCGGTATTTGCTCGGGTCTGTGGAATCCCGGTCTTTAGGAACCAAATGAGTGATCCCAGTAGTGAAGAGGCTCGGGAGCGACTTTTGGTCGAGAGCCTCTTGAAACTGTCGGGCGAGCACAGCATGACACACCACGAACCCCTTCAGCCAGTAATGATGCAGTCCGTCGAGTCCCGGACTTTTCCAGTTCGGGGCCCTACGGACCGCCTCAGCTACGTCATCCGGCGTTATGATGACGGGGTCCATGGACGTAACATTCGCACACTGACTCGCCACACCTTCCGTCCAAGGGCCCTCGCTGTGGTTTACGGGCTCTGACCACAGGCCGCGCCAGAATGCGATAGTGTCGGCCTGATTCGGTGCTGGGCCCGTTCCACGTACCATTGGTCGCTCCAATGATATTATTATTATTAATATCCTACTGTGTGGAGTGGCAAGGAAAAATAGGAGTTACGCATCGAGGATGAACCCTTTTGATGGGAATAAACCTCTATGGCTTTACCAGCCACACCTCTGCCTACTATCACTAATATGACTTTATAGCTTTCCCATTTTTAACAAAGTTGACTGGTGTCACCTGATATAACTTGCTTTTGTCAAAATTTTCCTTGTTCATTTACTATATCCTTTCCTGCCAAGGAATCCTTTTGGATAGGTATGTAGGTAGGAGATCCGGTAGCAGTATTTTTATCTATTTCTGCCATCAAATAATGGTGATGTGCTCCGGACTAAAGGGTATAAAGTCAGTATAATTATAACTAATGAGGCATTTCATCTAAGTCCTCAAAAGTATTGGTACTTTTTGAGGACTACATATATTGGATTTTTGTTTGAAGTTGGCTGCCGGTGTCCACGGAATGCATGAGCCACATTCAGTCTCATTAAACATATATATATATATCGCCGAATAGTAGACATTTACCGAATATTCGTATTCAGTGAATACTGATCACGAATATTTAAAAACGAATATTTTTGTACGCAACTCTAATTACTGGCGGACTTGGATGACGCGCGGCGTCGGCGCGTAAAAAATGCGACGCGTATTTTGGCCCTTAGCCTCAACGACGGGGGACTCCCAAAAATATTTTTCACTGAAACTATATATAGCCGCCTCGGAAATACTTTTTTTAATGGCTGGGAACATCCAGAAAAAAAAAATCGCCTAAAACCAGAAAATCTACAAATTTTATGTTTTTTAAATGAAAATTTGCCTACAGTAAATTTTAATTATTAGAACAATAGAATATCATCAAATAAATTAATTTTTTCTTACCATGGTGAGATATTCGTATTCGCCGAATAGGAGCCGTGGTAGCTCAGATGGTTAGTGCTCACTGTAAGCTTCACAGTACTTGAGCAACCCGGGTTTGATCCCCGCCGGCACCAATGAAATTGTTAATTGCAATTTTAAGTGCTGATTTACCACATGCTCGGCGGTGAAGAAAAACATTGTGAGGAAACTTGCATGTCTGAGAAATTAAAAAAAAAATATTTCGAAGACGTGAAGTTCGCAAACACGCATTGGGGCAGCGCGGCAGACATTTTCTTGTCCTAAAAAACCCTCTCAGAAATGAGAGGAGGCCTGTGCCCAGCAGTGGGACGTAAATAGGCTGCAACTATATTCACCGAATAGTAGGTTTGATATTCGTATTTGTATTGGTAAAAGTAGTATTTGTTGCATCACTATTATATATATATATATATATATAATAGTAGTATATATATTACTTGTGTAGTAGGGTGGACTAGAAAATTACTGGTTTATCAAAATTATTTGTTTATTATTAATCTTATTGGTACATTACTTTGAACCTACAAATCAATAGTAAGTTGTGTAATTGAGCCTTACTAAAATTTATACTTAGGTTAGTGAACATTAGTCTAGTATTTAAAATAAAAAATAGTAGTATAAACAATACCACCTTTTGCCTGTGCCTGAGCTAGTTTCTCCTCAGCAGCGTTTAAATTGTTCACATATGTAGCATGATGTTTGCTATGATGAAGGCTCATTATTTCTCTGCTGATAACAGGCTCTAATGCGCTGTACTCATAGGGCAGATCAGGTAAGGTGTGTTTAAAACGGGTGGCTCCTGCCGCGCGACTACACAAATAAAATTTCAAAATTGACAATTAGCAGTAATAATAGTTTCTAATAATAAAATACGGTATTTAATGTATAAAAGTTAATTTGTCACTATTCACAATTAAAATTTATGTTGAGAAATGTACTCTTTACTTTCTAATGTTTACTTTAACCGTCACAGATTTTAGAAAATAAAATTTTTCCATAATCTATTCAATACAGTTCAATAAAGTAAGCCAGAGTAATAAATGAAATTACATTAAATTTCCGAAGTTGAGTGAACGTGAAGCGAACATAGTGCACTTCACCAAGTTATGAAGACGAAAATTGAAGGATAACTTATAGATATCAATCTAAAACTTCTCAGTATATTACTAAACTCATATACTACAACAGTTTAAAATCAAAGCCGATACTGCAATATTACGCAACTCCACTAAACTCAAACCAACTAGAAAATCCACCCAGCGCAGTATCAAACCAGCAAATTGCAAACCAAAGACAAAGATACAAAATGTCAATGTCAAATGTCAATTATCTAGTACAAAGAGAATATAATCACGTGCGCGCAAGATAACTCATGAAGTTATAGATAAAGATGGAGACCACACTCCGAATACCTACTTGAAGCTCAACCTATGTATTACTATCTCGCTCTCTTTGGGCAGACCCTCTCTTTCTAAGTAGGTAACCTTTATTTTATTTTTCCCAGGATATCGCTATAAGTAGTTACATTACATTAAGTGGTTTATTTATAAATATTTACATCTCTGTTTACTACTAAGACCTAGTCTATATAGATTATATATATTTGTAAATTTTTTTTTGGGAAATTGGTTTTACTGAAGAAAGGTTTTCATATCCATGGGCAGAACCGGTATCTTAAATTTTACCACGCATTTCCGTTACAACCCATATAATGTCGAGCGTATTTAGAAAATGCGGAAAATAAATATATCAGAAAATATTTTATTACTACTATTTCGATAATGCATTTTCTGGTTATTGTATCCAATACCTGAACGGTACCAACGAACTATAAAATTAATTTATTATAACACCCCGAGTGATCAATGAATTGGGCAAAATATACCTGATTTATTGTTTAGACAGACTAAATCTATTTCTGGACAATTATTTTAGCAAAATATCACGAGGACTAAAGGAGCGCAGCGGAGCTCCTGCCTTAGCCTTCTGACCTAACCCATCTGAGTCAGGCTGCTCTGATCTGAAATGTGTATAATACTATATTCCACACACCCTGTTCATTTTACGAATTATCTACAATACCTAGGAATTCTATATAATAACGGATTTCATAGATTTCTAGTAACATATGTACTATAATAGGGACGATAATATATAAAAAACCTTAAAAAATAAATAAAAATTCTTTCCATATTAAAATTATTTATTGAAATTTTACACATCATGAGGATAACTCTGTGGCTTTTTGAAGTCCTTACAGACATCAGCAAAGCACCCTTGAATAAATATTCTCAATTTCTGACTGACCCGTATTCTTTTTAATAGTTGCCATTAAAGAACAGCTATCCTGAATTTTTTTAGTTTGACGCGCCACTTTTTGTTTAAGAATCTTAGTTTTCGTCTCAAGTATTTCTTCTTTAGTACGCTTTATTTTCACTTGCACGTCGTCGTATTCACTGCTGACCTAAAAAACAAGAAAACTTTATGAAATCAGTATTTTTAGCATCGTACATAGTATTGCTCCACTCATTAGGGTCGTAGCGTGATGTTAGACAGCCTTCCTGAGGAATTAATTTTAAAAATGCAAAAAATATTTTCAAATCTGACTGGTATGGTTCCAAAGATTAGAGAACTAAACAAAAAAAAAGAAACATATAACTCTTCTACGTCATAATGTCAGTACAAATTTATATCACTTAATAGGTAACACATAATACACCGGAGCGCGACTTCGTAAGCACACATAAATGAAGCATCAAACAAGAAGCTTCTTGCTTAGTGTCGTAGTGACGGTTGCCACACTGCGACTGGCACTAAAGAGTTTAAATATGTATGTGTTTTAAGCTATATAATATATTATGTAATGTAATATTAAAGTCATAATAAATACAAATAAAAGGTATGTATTTAGTAATAAAGGAAAAGGAAACTTACAGGTAACTTGTTCAGGTTGCATAAATTTTCACGAATTTTTGACATTGTTTTTTACTAGTTTGGTCTTCAATATTACAGCCAGTACATTTCATTCCTGTTTCCTTAAGTGCAGAACTACTTTCATTAATTCCAGAACTAGTGCTTGGTACAGCTACAGCCAGAGCAGCTATTTGCACAATAGACTTATCATGTCATGCACTTGTTTGCAATTGATAACATATTTTACAAAATGTTGCTTTATATCATATATTTAAACTACTACATTTCTAAATGCATAATATATTACGAAAAATAGATAATTAAATTATATTAAACTTTTACCTTGTCTGGTGATACTGTTTCTTGATTTCTTATAACAGTAGGAACTGCCGTTGGTTTTAAGCACCTTGTTGTTGAATCATAATCTCATTCTTGAAAATGCAAATCCTTGCTCTTTCATAATACTTCATTTTCAATGGTACAATGGATAACAACAAATTTCTCCGAGTACTGTTTTAGGAAATCTAAAAAAAATATTCGTAATTATTGTAAACGTTATTAAAGAATCAGAATAATGAGAAACAAAAACTAAGTAAAAATAAATTGTCTGCCAAAAGAATATATTGTGTTACTAATTTTTAATTTAATATTATGAAATCTATGAAATACGTCATTATATAGAATACATAGGAATTGTACATAATTCCTAAATTTCATGCATTTCCGGTAACATAATAAGAAACATGTGCATATAATTAGTTAAGGTCACACGGAAAGTCTCAGATACATCGTCAATATGGTCACACTACTTCAGTGCGATTTCTTTTAAACAAAAACAATAAAATTGTTCAAAGTCAATTAAATTCAATGTAAAACTATTTGATTTTGACAAAGTTATAATTTACTAATATGTTTAAAACACTGATAAAACGTTTCAGCAAAAAATTAAGTGAAAATACAAAGAAGTATGTTTACAAGTATTCAATGCCAGAAGTCACTATTTGAACACTTACGTGTGAAATCTTATATCACTTCCTGGACATCAACTACTGTCGCAACCACGTAATACACTAGTTTGCACCATTTCTTGAATTATAACAATAATTATCTTTAAATATCTCAAACGACGTTGTGAACTGTTAAGTAAACAACCGCCATATTTGTCTAATTTATGTTGACTTATAGGGCTAATGTTGCCACATTACCGAACCCTTAGGAAATGGGATTGTAATTCACTGATTCGTTAACCCAATAATGCATACGAGACCTTCAATTTTGGAATTTTTAATGTGATTAATCGTAGTTAAACTATTTATTTATTGGAACATTATTTTACAGAGCTGAACTACTGATTTGGTTATTGTGGAAACTATTTCTAAGAATTTACCAGGAGATTTAAATAAAAACATAGCAATACTGTATCCAACACTAAAAAGAGAAGTCAGACCACAGAGAGTGAGATAAAGATACGTAGGTATTTGACTCAAGCTGTTGTTCCAAGTGTGGCCTCCATCTTTATCTATAACTTCATGAAGATAACTCTGCGCGCGACTGATGGCGTACTTAATGTTACCAGCTTAACTAATATTTTTTTCCTTCATTTAATCTTATTACTAGAATTATATATTTATATCAAATTACATAAATGATCGAATTGATTACCAAAGCTCAGTTAAAATAATTGTAATGTTCAGCTTAAACTTACAAAAACCTAATAAATATTAAACCCTATATTTATTATTTAAGATTCGCATGATAAATATATGTCTTGATTGTAACTTCCATAAGTTTGACACTACACTTCACAAGTTTCTATGGTAAGATTTAAGTTAATATAAATTATTCCTTAAAAAACACTTAATTTATGCGAGCGAGTTTGAGAAAAAACTAAAAAAACACGCTTCACTTTTATTTTTGGTATTCTTCTCGGTTTGCTGAACGGTTTGAAACCCATATCATGGGAATGTACAAAAAATAACTAGTTTTCCATCTTTGGAAGTCCGCTATATTGGATTTAGAATGATGTTACTTATTTTCGTCTAAACTTAACGTATATGCAAAATTTCCACTCCATCAAAAACTTAAAAAATGGTCAACTTTAACTTCCAATTTCATTTACATTATTATTTTATAGGTGAAGATATTATATGCGTGTTAGAAATGACTATTATTATGATTAACGAACACTGGTATTTTGTCTATAATGAATTTATCAAAAAAGGTATTTTAAAAATATTTATTAGAAAGAACGAAATTAAAAGTCCATGGAAACCTTGTAAATCTTTTATTGAATACCTATATCTATTTGTATATTTGGTGTAATAATGGTTCTGCAGTGGGTCAACGCTTTTCATTCGCACATCTTCACAGAATCCATACTAGTCTTCATCAGAAGACTCAGATGTGTCGCCTGTGACATTAAATAATAATTACTTTTCGTTTAAGCTAAAACTAAAACATAATAAAAACAATACATTATAAAGACGTGATATTAATGATACGAGGAAACTAAAAATGAACAAATCGAGAAAAATAGGGAGTTTTATTTGTTATGGCATCCCTAAAAATTACCTGTAAAATATGAAACGTGGATTCTAACTTTGGAAAACGGTACTGTAGGCCCGTTATTGTCTCGTTCTTCTTCACAAGCAAATTTGACCTTCGAGATAATATCCCCGCCAGCAATTTTAATCACTTTCGGCATAATGATGACGATTATTTACTGCAAAAACGAATACAAATACGACACCTAACTCTCTGTTTTGACACCTGCCATAAACAGTAAGATTTCAAGGTTCCAATTTTGGCCGCGCGCAGAGTTATCTTGCGCGCACTTTACGTTTAAGAGGCGGTTCTTTCATTCAAATTTGACCCCTTTAGTACATATAATTTTTACAATGGAAGTTGCACCAGCTGGTCTAGTATGTCTAGTGTCAAGTAATGATGGGTCAACTCGACTTATTAATTCGGGTGGTAACTTACTAACTCGAGTTCGGACTGGCGGTAATTGGTGGTAGAGCCACACGGCAGCTTTTGCTGTCGCACGAATGGGCTGGCTCGAACCGGGGTGGTACCACAACCTCACAGAATACCAGCGTGAAGTAGAGGTTTACCCAAAGAGTATAATAAGTATATACAGGAAAAGAGAGCCCACTGACGATATTTCATTGCAGAC